ATTGTATTAATGCTTTAAAAAAAAAAAAAAAAAAAAGCCCAGTTCCTTCCTTAAGTTTGCAAACAAACAAAAAATGTGAGTGACATGAGCTCAGTGTAAGCAATACAACCCTTATTAGCTGTACCTGTTTACGTTAATGCTGGATGTAAAAAGAATCCCTTTCAACAGTTGTGTGTTAGCAACACTACTTTTCAGGTTTATGAGTTTATGACAGTCTCCTGTGTTCTGTTTAAATAGACTCACTGTAGTACACAAGAAAAATAGTTTGCCACAAACAAACCAGGTAAGATTTGCTGCAACAGGGACTGCTGAAAATGACAGCAGCAGGAGGGAGGATTTATTTATTTAAATTTTAACAGGCAGCAGCGAAGTGTTAGAAGTGTCCCAAAGGTCAGGGTGTTATTAATTACTATAGCTCTCATTACTGAATAACAGAAGTAATAATATACACAGACACTGTCTGTGAGTCCGGTATGCGGTGCTGTGCTAACAGTGCTGAATGGTTGTTAGATCTATTTTGCTAAGGTTGATGGTTTGAAAGTATGTAGTATCTCTTCAGTGCATCTTTTCTCTCCTTCTTCAAGGCACAGGGAACCCCAATTCTCAGGTTGAGCACCCTGCCTATGGGCACAAAATGGAGATGAGGGGATTCAGGTAGTATTTGTGATTGCATTGCAGAGGGAAAGAGGGAGAGAAATTTTCATCATGTTGTAGAAGTTCAAAGAAGCCTAGTGTAAGGAATAAAACAAAATTATAACATGAGGGCAAGCTTAAAAGGCAGAATTACTCCTTTGTATGTTGTTAACACAGGTGTCTGCTCCCCTTTAGGACCTCAACTGGTTCAGCTGCTCCCTTCAGGTAGAACTGCCTACATGACATCACACAGGATACAGCTGCGTAATGTTCTCATATTAGTAGAAAGCAGATAGAAGCATTTGGTCACTAACACCAAAAAGACCAGCATGTACTGAAATCAGAGCACAGTTACTCTCATTTCAACACGCTCCAGCCTCCTTCAGAAGATACAGCTATCTCCTGTTCTGAGAAGGTGATCTGCCTGTGACAGGTGACATGCAGGTGGATGCATGCTTGTCTGTCACAGTCATGTAACAATATCAGGCTGGGAGTAAGGCTGTAGTTTTATGTGATGAGCCACCGTTTTCAAGGAAGCCTGAAAAATGATGGTCATGATTCTCCATTTTCCCTTGCTTCCTGTAAACATTTTTGACTTTCTGGAAAATAACATTTTTTCCCCACCATTTCTTTGAAATGAGTCTTTTACCTCCACTTTGTTTTTCCTTCTCTAATTTTCTCAGCTGTGTAACCTGGAGTTTAGGAGTAAGAATAACATTCTCTCTGCTCTCATGAGCTCATGTAAGACCCACTGGGGCTGTGTGGGGACCGTGTGCTTGGGCTTCCTGGTAGCTGCAGGTGGTGTGGGCATGCTCACCCAGGTGGAGGTATTGATTTCCCTGGGCTGTTGCAGAGATTTATCTACAGCTGTGCACCTGAAACATGGGTTCAAGTTAGAATGGATTTGAAACAAGTATTTTGTACGTGAAAGCCTTGAGCCTGGGAAATTATTCTAAATTCACGGCCAGAATTGCAGCCTGAGACCACATCGAAGTCTGGATGGAAACGTGCTCCTTCTATGCAGAATGAAAAAAGAATGTTTTTATGACTCAGTAACACATATCTCTAGAGGCTCTGTTCTAACCCCATGCAAATTTCCCTGCAGCCAGAGAATGAGGTAGAGATAGAAACAGAGTAGTGAGTATCCTATGGAAAATCAGTCTCAGACCTGAGGATGAACTAGAAATCAAGATTATGTCACTTCCAGTATGTCTGCTGTTGCTTTTAAAATACCCAAATGTTTCAACTTAAGTGTCTGTCCGTGGGCTTTATTGCCTTATTAATAATTTGGCACCGACTGGGCCCTGACATGAAAGGCTTATTCTAATTACAAAGAACTTTCTAGCCTTTCAGCCCTGCAAGGGAAATTTCTAAGAAAAAGGTTCCTTTTTTTTTTTTTAAGGAAAAAAAACAGGCTTTTGCAGACTTTAGAAATGTCTCCTTAAAGAACAGCTCTCTCTTAGTAATGACTAAGTAATGACTTTGGACAGGTACACTCTAGGCTGGGTAAGGATCTGACTGGTGGGCCGGGCCCAAAGAGTGGTGGTGAATGGAGCTAAATCCAGCTGGTGACCAGTCACAAGTGGTGTTTCCCAGGGGTCGGTGCTGGGGCCTGTCCTCTTCAGTATCTTTATTGATGACCTGGATGAGGGCATTGAGTGCTCCCTCAGTAAGATTGCAGATGACACCAAATTGGCTGGAAGTGTGGATCTGCCTGGGGGTAGCGAGGCCCTACAGAGGGATCTGGACAGGCTGGAGAGCTGGGCTGAAGCCGGCGGGATGAGTTTCAACATGGCCAAATGCTGGGTCCTGCACTTCGGCCACAACAACCCCAGGTAATGCTACAGGCCTGGGGCAGAGTGGCTGGAAGACTGTGTAGAGGAAATGGACCTGGGGGTATTGATTGATGCTGGGCTGAACATGAGCCAGCAGTGTGTCCACGTGGACAAGAAGGCCAATGGCATCCTGGCTTGCATCAGAAAGTGTTGTCAGCAGGAATAGGGCAGTGATTGTCCTCCTGTACTCAGCTCTGGTGAGGCCACACCTTGAGTACCATGTCCACTTTTGGGCCCCTCACTGCAAGAAAGACATTGAGGCCCTGGAGTGGGTTCAAAGAAGGGCAAAAAACTGGTGAGGGGTCTGGAGCACAGGCTTATGAGGAGCAGCTGAAGGAGCTGAGATTGTTCAGTCTGGAAAGGAGGAGGCTCAGGGGAGACTTTATTGCTCTCTATAACTGCCTGAAGGGAGGTTGTAGTGAGCTGTGGGTCAGCCTCTTCTCTTGTGTAACTGGTGATAGGACCAGAGGGAATGGCTTCAAGCTGTGCCAGGGGAGATTCAGGCTGGACGTTAGGAAATACTGCTTCTCTGAAGGAGTGGTCAGGCACTGGAATGGGCTGCCCAGGGAGGTGGTAGAGTCACCAACCTGGAGGTTTTCAAGGAATGTTTGGACATTGTGATGAGGGATGTGGTTTAGTGAGAACTATTGGTGATACATGGATGATTGGACTGTGTGATCCTGTGGGTCTTTTTGTACCTTGACGATTCTAAGATTCTAACACTAGCGATTTTGGGTATGAAATATAAGACTCTCAGGAACCAAGTTTACAGTAATTTATCATTAAATTTGTCTATTACTTTATTACAAGGTGTATTTTCCTAATAAAAAATAAATGTGAATATTTAAGATATTTAGTATTTGTTCTGGTGAGCCGTAAAGTGGTGCAGGGAAGTAGACTAGGAGTTACAGCAGGACTTGTGCCCAAGGTCTGCTCTCAGTTCTGTCAGTTTGGCATTTGGGAAAGATATTAGGTTTCTGAGACTCACCTTGCACATCTGTACAACATAAATACATTGAATTTCTGACGGTAAACTCAAGTCAGAGCTAACAGTTCCAGAGTATAAACAGAAAACATTCTTATGCAAGTAACAGCTTAATGGTACTAATTTTAGGGAACCAACAAGTTTTTTTTATACTACTAAAGCACTAGGAATGGCCCTTATGGGTGAAAAAGTAAATTTATTTTTAATTTACTTTTCTGTATACAGAATTCTGAATACAGTTTCTGCTCTCATTTGAATTTGCAAGCAAATCAGCATGATAGACTGACAGGTCTCCAAAGTCCTCAGGTTTGGAGTTTCAGCAAATGTACAAACACTGACTGTCCTTTCACAGGTTTGCACAGAGTAACATTGCTTTAAAAATGAACCTACAATCATTTTTAATGCTATCTGCTCCAAATGCCATTAATATATGGCTAAAACTTGTGACTTACTGTGCAAGCAACAAATGGTACCTGTATCAAAATGTGCTCTTCTGCGAGGGCACAGAAACTGGAGAGCTACTCCAGTGTAGACATAGCTTCTTTACAAACTAAATGCAAAGCAAGCCCTTGTACCCTAGAGTCACTGACAAGATGAAATGCTTTGATCTCCAGCACATGCAGTGATTTCTCAAGTCTTCCTCTGTACCCCTAGGATTGCTGACTGTAAGTAAACTCAGACCATCACCCAGGCAGACTGTTTGATCAGATGCATCCTGAGCTTGCTGTAGGTGAAGCTGGCATCCATGAACCAGTATGGCACAATGATTTATGTTCCTGATGCATGCAGTGCTGGATCCATGCACCTGGGAAAATTTGTTTTCATCCTGAAGTAGACCTCTTTATAGCTGTAAAATAGGCCAGCCATACTTAAACATGTAAGGTTCCTTTTACCTTTGTTGACATAAGCCAGATAGAGAACAACAGCACCGACATCTGTGGTTAGACATCATTAGGGAAATGGAAGAGGGATTTATTTCTATTTAGTATCTTAATTTCTTCTGTGAATTAAGGGGGTGGAGACAAGCCATTTTACTCTCTGGTCAATCTTTCTCCACCTCTACACCCAGAAAGTCTCATTTTCCTGACATCACCCCAGCTTCTCCTCCACTTGAAGCCATTACTTGGGTATGAGGATTAACAGAAAATGTGTTTCCCTTTTTGAAAAACTGTGAGATTCTGTTAAAACTGAGAAGGAGATCTGAAATGTTGATACATTTGGTGGATGCAAAAAAAAAAAAAAAAAAAAAAAAAAAAAAAATTTGTTTCAAACTGGCAGTGTCAAGAATGTTCATTTGAGTAAATGGTAACTGTAACACATTACAGGACAAAGAATGTTTCCTCTATATTACCACAAACTGTTATGCTTTTTCAGCTGAGCCCTTCTTTGAAACAGACATTTTCCTTGAAAAAAAATCTTTTTTAAAAAGAAAAATGAAGCTGTAGTTCTCGGAAAATGTTTGTGTGTGAGCATTTTGCTGCTGTTTCCAAGGGGTGCAGTCTTTTGTTTTTTATGTGTTGTTGCAATAAATGCACATTTGCTTCAGCTTTTATTTTTTAGCAGTATTGTATTTTGCACAGAAGTATTTGATTTAAAAGCACAGAGAGGAAGAATTGTGGTAAATGGGTGATATAGATATCTGGAAGGACGATCAGTGATCTCTTATTGCACAACCTGAAAATGTGTTTAATTATCGTAAAGCAGAATCACAGAATCATTGAGGAAAGGACCTTAGGAGATCATCAAATTCAACCTCCTCCTCCAAGCAGGACCAGCACTGAGTTCAGATCTGGTTTTCTAGGGCTTTCTCTCTAGGCAGGTTTTGAAAACTTCCAAACCTGGATGGAAATTCTGCAAGCTGTACTTCACACTGAAGAAAAATACTCTCATGAAATGAGAAAAAATTATTCGCTCAGTCTTCCATTACTACTTCATTATCAGTGCAAAATAGGAGTTTATAGAATACTGTGGTTTTAACCTAGTAGTCTTCTCCGTGCCTTATCTACCACAAATCAGTTTGTGGAGGGCTGGATACCAGACGTTATGTTCTCTCTCAAGAGGAATGCTCATAGTATTTGTTTCCAAGCTAAGCACTTAATTATGTTTCAACAGGAGTTTTGCTGCAAGTGAAGCAAGTAACAAATCATTAGTAAACAGAATTCAGATTTAGACCAATGCAATAGCTATATGCAGTCTACTTCAAAGAAGCTGGTAAATCTCCCAGTGGCTTGCACAGTATTTGAGTCACAGAATCATAGAATTATTAAGATTAGAAGAGACTGCTAGGATCATCTAGTTTAACCATCAACCCATCACCACATGCTGTGCACCTAAACCATGTCACTTGGAGTCTGGACTGTTGTGTGCAGGTTTTAAATGTAAATTGTGCATGTTCAAGATAATGAGTTGTATTATTAATATGCAGATCTATAATAACAGAAGAATAAGGTTGGGAGATACTTTGGGAGATTGTCTCACAGAATCACAGAGGTTGGAAGAGGACTCGAGATCACTGAGTCCAACCCCCTGCTAAAGCAGGTACCCTATAATAGGTCACCCAGGTAAGCATCCAGATGGGTCTTAAATATCTCCATAGAAGATGACTCCATTGCCCCCCTGGGCAGCCTGTCCCAGTGCTCTGTCAACCTTACCACAAAGAAGTTCCTCTTCATTTCTGTACAGAACTTTCTGTGTTCAAATTTTAGGCTGTTACACCTTGCCCAATTGCTACACACCACCGAGAAGAGCTTGGCTTCATCCATTTGCCTCCCATGTCCCTTTAGATATTTATAAACATTCCTCAGATCCCATCTCAGCTTACTTTTCCCCAGATTGAACAGGTCCATGTTACTCGGACTTTCCTGATAGGGGAGATGATCCAGGTCCTTTATCATCCCCCCCCCGCCCCCCTACACACACACAAAACAAAAAAGCTTAAACTTAGTAATAAAGACTGGGCCACAGCAATAATGGCTTAAGAATGGTACATAAGGAAGGTTTGGTTTTGGGTGGTTTCCCAGAGTTTGGGAAATGCAATATCAAGCAGTCTGATAGACAGGAAAGGGGCTGACCCCAGTTCTCTTGATATTTCTGCTCTCTTTTTCACCAACTGCTCTTATTTTGGTATTTTAGGGCTCGGTATTTCCTATTGAAGCAACGGCTTTATCAAACAACAGCCACAGTCTCATACCCAGCACTTGGGAGTGTTCTCTCCAGGTAGGCAGGACTGTGGGGATCCCCCTACTCATGTGCAGCTGGCTGAGTCTTCACCTTCCCGATAAACAGTTTGAAGGCATGGCATGCACTGAGTTTTCAGGATTTCCAAAGCAGAGAGTAATGTGCTTCTTTTGATGTTTCAGACTATTAAGCACTGTAAACTTCCAGCGATAGAGTGAATGTTACTAAATTACAGTTCACCAGACTTTCATTACAAATTTCTGCAAGTCTTCATAGTAAAAGTAGAAAAGATCTGAGAAATTGTGTCCAGCTAATCTCACAGGCAGAGAAACTCGGCAGGGCTAAGTCCAAGCATATGAGACAAAGAATAAGCATATGAGAATTTATTGCAACTAGCAATAAATTTTGTAATGTATTTGACTCCTTTAACTTTTGGGGCTTTTTGAAATACAGTCTTCCACTGTAAAAATAGATTTCAAGAGGCTTGTGGGTTTTTGTTTGGTCGGTCAGTTGGTTTTCAATTGAGACTTCTAAGCTAAAAACCAGAAAGGTGAAATCTTTATCTTTGCAAAGATGGTAGCCTATTCCCCACTGCCATCTCAGCCAGACCTCGGTACCTGGGGAAAGGACAGCTGTGGGCTCCTTGAACTTTGAGGACGTTTGGTTGCCTTTTCCAACTGTAAGGCGCAAGACAAAGGAGATTTGTGCTTAGGGTACAAGAGCTGTTGTAAACGTGCAGCCCAGAGCTGCCTGTTGGGCAGCAGTGCTGAGCCAGCTGTACTGCCAGGAGCTGCTCTGCCTGAGCACAAGAGGAGCAGCTTTTGGGGCAGGGCGATCCAGCACAACAGGCTGTAGGCTGGGGAAAAAGGATTGCACTCAACTTGATGCTGATTTGTTCCACATCCTGCATGAAATCACAAAGGTAAATCTGTGCAAACTCTGGCAGTCACAGCAGTTACCTGCTACTCCCATTGACTTGAATATGTCTTCTCAAGGTACTTCTGTTCTGCAGGATCTGCTTTGCAGATCAGTGTTGCCAAAGGAACGGCTCTCATTGGATTCATTAATTTGAATCATGCCATACCTTTTATTCAGAGCTAAAAACACAGCACAAAATGAGACTAATATTGTTTCTCATTACATATAGTAATATGTCTGTACTCTTATGAGTTTGCACATGCATTTTCCTCTATAGGTATAGTGCAAAATTTGGAAATACACTACATAATGGTTCTGTATCTCAGAGAGGTATGGGTAAGATGATATCATTTAAGACATGGAAACGCAAAATTAGTTTAGAGAAAATGCAAGTATCCTTGCATGCTACTAAAGATTGAAAGTGCTGCATTTTTTGTGTACATTCTAATTACAGCAGGTTTTGCAAATGTAGACAAATTCATGGTGATGAATTGCAGTCAACATTGCTCCCACTTCATGTCATTTCTAAAACGAAGTCCACGATTTCTACCACTAAACATCACAGAAACTGTTCAAAGAATAGTTAATTCTTACCTACTGAAGAACTAAAAGTTTTCTCCATTTCAGTTTCCAAGCAGATCGTTTTGGACAGGATATCAGACAAACTGCAGATAGCTGACTACAGCTGACCTTTTCGGTGAGAACTGTCCAGCCTCCTAGAGCACCACCATCACTTAGAATAGAAATCTGAAGCAATGTACATGTTTCCACTGGTATGGTGTGCTGTTAACTTTTACAGCAACCAAAAAAGAACGCTCATCTTTATGGTGTTTGTAACAAGCAGAATTAAGGGAGGATGTAAAATCTCAAAGTTGTTACACAATTTCTTTGTTATGCAGGAAAAACTCCATAAAACACTCCATTCCAAAATCTGCTTCGTATTAGGCAATTACACGAAAAGAAAATAAAAATACCACAATTTATTGATTTGCATTTTGTCCAAATCAGATTACTTTATCTCTTTTCTGTTTCCAAATCTAAGTACAAAAATGCAAAACGGCATCCCTTTTCTTGTAGGATTTGCAAAGCAACTTCCATTTTTGACAGCATTAGAAAAGCTAGGCATCAAAATCTAAGTCATTAAGTGTGTGTAATGTTTAAATTAAGAAATCAATTACCATCTAAAGCTGCGGTGGCAAATGATGCCTCTCTATTAAAGGTTTGGTTCCACTGTTGCTAGTCCCTTCTTGAGAACAATTTTTTCAAAGTTTTGAATGTAGCTCATGCATACCAGTTCACCCCTGTAGATCTATTCTCAAATTTAGAGAAAATAAGGGAAATGCTTACATTTCTGTGTTCAGAAACCACTAGACCACAAAACATTGCATGTGCTAGATACCGGCAACAAAGAGCTGATTTCATATCACCTGCCCCTTAAGTAGGATTTGAAAACTAACTTTGGTCTGTAGAAGCAGCCAGGTGCATGCACAGCATACGCACTGATGAGATGCGATCTGGGTGCTGTGTGTGCACGTTGGCCGTACGTGTTGGAAACGGAATAGAACAAGAGCTCAGAGATGGGAGCTGCGGGGCCGGGTGCCTCTGTGAGGGGCTGAGGAGGCTTGGCTCAGCTGGCCCCACAGGACGCATGCTGAGAGAGGATACGGTTGCAGTCTATTAATACATCCTGAGATAAACACCAGGGAGGGAGATGAGTTATTTCAGCGGAGGACAATGTTGGCATGAGAACAAATGACTGTGAAGAGGCCACAAGTTACATTTACCCTGGAAGCTGGAAGATTTTGAGTTGTGAGAGGACTTAAATTCTGGAGCAGCTTCCCTCAAGAGCAGCAAAATGTTGAATCTCTTCCCAACTAAAACTCCACTGGTTTACGCAAGGCAGTGCGTGATATGGCTGCTTGTAACTGGAGGAGGATGGGTGCAGCAGATGCCTGGCAGTCCTGCAGCCCTTTTCTCAATACTGGCTTGTCAGCCAGCCATGGAGTATGCTCTGTAGGAAGTCATTTCATTTCCCAGTTCACGTAGAAATTGAAGACATTGCTAGTGAAATCTTAATATATGGAAAAATAATTGTGCACCCAGGATGTGCAATTTAAGTAAATCAATATTTCTACAATATTTCTACAATCTTAATTAGTTTTCATTTCCTAGAATTTTTGTGGGTGCATCTTCAACTTTTATTATGTTTTCTTGAATCTCCAATGCACAAACTGTAAGAATACCTGTGAAATACACGGTGCATTTCTGCTCCAACACTGACACGTCTGATTGTGACCGTCGGTGTGAGCTGCAGCTTGGACATGCTGATCACTGAGGGACATTTACATCCATCTGACTGCCTGTGCAGCAGGGCAGCCATCTCCCACAGCTCAACACTACGTCATTGTGAAGCACACTTAGGAGTTGGAGTTCTAAACCCTTGTTAAGCAACACACGCTATTACACAATCCTATCTCTATATAAGTGCTGCAGCACACTAAACTAAGCACATTAAACAAAGAAGTATACAAACCAAAGTATTTTTGACCTTATAGTAAGGGAAATTTCATGTTTTCCTCAAGAGAATTGCCTTACTGAACATATATTGAAATAATGTAAAGTAAAAATATTTTCAGGTGCCACACCTAGGTCTACAAATGCAGTTTGAAGCTCCACAGCTGTCATTAGAATTAATGAAAGATATACAGCTGAATTCCATGAAGAAAACAATTTAGCCCACGCATAGCAGCAGTTGGAATACACTCAGTTAAAGCTCATTTGACATTAGACTTGATTTCACACTGACCTTGCTCAGCTGGCAAATGCTTTTCTGACTGTGTTTTGGCTTATGTGTGTTTGATATCTCCAACTGCCACAAGCTGTAGTTAATTCTATGCAGATTAATTCTGCTGAAAGTCACACATTAAGGGGGTAGGAGGTTAAAACCATAGTAAAGCAGATGACAGTAATGTCCTCATCTCTATTTCTAGAATATTGGCAGCACTTGAATTTCCTTGGGACACTACATAGATACAGTTGGGGTTGTGGAAGTTTAAGCCAGAAACACAAGTACATCCAGCTGAAACTGGAGAAGCCTTGCACATTGTGGCTTGAATCCTCAGGAAACAAAAAAACCTGCAGATCAGTAAGAGCTTTTAGTGCACACAGGTTTATATCTCTTTTCTATGGAAATAAGTATTGCCAGCTTTGCCACTACAAAAAAAAGTTCTTGGAATCTAAGACCGTCACATCTTGCCAAGTATAGCAAACCACTTTTATGAGACAAGAGGCGTTTTGCACCAGGTTCACTTGGAGCTTGCATTACTGCAGCACCAATTCGAAGTTCCCTTCCAGTGTAACAATTTCTTCTCCTTTAGCATATGTAACTTGTTATATTTTTTTATTAAGTGCCATTGCCAAAATGGCTATATGGTGTGCTGCTTGAAAATTTAATTTACACAGTCTCTGTGATGGAAAATAACGTAGTAGCCATTTTTAAAGTTTCCAAATTCTACTTTTTCATGTGCCTGTATGAGTATCCTTTATAATGCTTAATAGACAAATTAAATAGGTTTTTTTTTTTTTTTTTCCATCGGCATTGTGATAAAGAAAAGATTAAAAGAACACATGGCTAGCTGGGCACTTTGTCAAGACATTTGTTCAGTGTTACTCTAAAGAACAGTTTCAGCCAAATTTTGTGTCAGTAAATGAAGGAATGTTCAAAGTTAAAACAAAAATTTCTCCAGAATACTGTATATTCCTTACCTGTGGGCAGTCTTTGATGTAGTGTCCCTTGTTAAAGCAGAGGTGGCACAGGTAGTTGGGAGGTGGCCTCTTGCTGGGTTTTCTGGCTTCTGAAGAAAGGGATAGGTCAGAAAAATGCTCAGTAAGGGAGCTTAACCCATCCACTATGTTGTTAAGAGAGCCATAAGGAGATGCACTCTTATAGAGACTGCTGCTCAGAGCCTGCAAAAGAAAAGAAAATTTTACATGAAATGTAACACTGTTCCTAGACTGATCTGGGGAGGGGAAGGATAAAATTAACATTAAAAAAATGTGGGATTTTTTCATTAAGAATGTGGATTCTGTGCATTTGAGGGGAGCAATACAGTGGTTATCAGTAAAGAGGTTTCTTGAGGGCAGCGTGATAGAGATGATCATTCCACTGCTGGGAGCATATTGAGCCACGGTTCTTTCATCCACGGCCTTGCCTCTAAGCAGTGATTGCTTTCTTGTGTTTGATTGTGCCACAGTCATGTTCTAGTCAGAATATGTTGGCAAAAAGAGAAAGAACAAAGCAGAGAATGGACCATTTCTGTGAACAGAACTATTTATAAGAACAATACTGAAGTTGGAGAAAGGAAAAAAACACGAGAAAAATGCAAAGTAATTTTTAATTTCCAGTCAAGTTAACGTGACAGTCAACACAGAGTCCTGCTTTCAACCAATAGCAAGGAACATTCAGACCTACATCTACAGACCTACATCTGTCTTGGATTTTCTAAGGGTTATTTAAACACTTCTTAATGAATGGTAAAGACCTAGTTTTTGTACTAGGTCTTTAGGTCAATACTAGGTCAATATGACCTTCGCTCCCTCTATCTATGGATGACAATCGTTTCCACTCTGAATTGGAAAGGATCTTTCTCAGGACTGATAGACCTCACACCAGTGCCGTAACCATGTAGTTCTACTGGCATCAGAGTTCTTGCTACTTTATGGGAAAGTAAGGTAAGAAGACATCCAATCTGTGCCTCTACAGAGGCCTTGTTTTTCATTACTATTAAATCAAAATATTTCAATGGACTCTTTACATGTGTTATATAGATATATTGAAGACATACAGAAATTACTTGTGATAACTTGCAAATAAATTTGAAATGGGATTATATTTATCTCAGAGGTCTCAAAAATTTGGGATATCTGTACACTGAGTGTGCTTTCTTTGTAACAGTCACTTACTGAAAGAATCTTTCAGAAGCCCTAGGCACCACTCACTGGTCAGACGTGGCTTATTGAGTCTCACCAGCCCCCTTACAAAGGCAAAGCTGGTGCATAGGAGTAAGATCAACCCAAGGGGCCACAGAGTGAGAGTCCAAAGCCCCAGACTTTGCCCTGGCCTTCCCACTGACCTTCTCTCTGCCCCAGGGGAAGTAATTACAACTTTCCCTCCCTTTTAGTCTGGGACATGCATAGCAGGTTTTCTGTTTACAAAACTGTGAGTGATCTCATGGAGGACTTAAACTAGCAGAGTGCTGATGTAGTTTTGTGCTATCTGTTCTAGTTCTATCTGCCTAGAGGAGAGTCAGCCACTTTGTTTCGGGGGTTAAACCTGTATATTTCAAAAGGAAAAGCTATTGGAAGAACTAATGAAAAGGTTTTAGCTGCTTTAGTCATCAAGTAAGCAAAGATACCTCCAAATACCTCCAACAGTCACTGGAATTTTTTTCTGAGATTTATTGGACACTGGTGGAATGGGAAATTCTTGGCATCAAGCTGCTAAAAGGAAGAGGAAGTACTATGGATGCCAAAATACTATTAATTAGGGTCTTCAAAAAGTTCTTGTCTCCCTAGGAGCCACTTTCTATAACATACGCTTGGAAAATACAAAATCTCTCTTTTTAAGAGTCTCTCTTGCCAAGAGATTCTTAAGCTACTTCACATGCATTAAACCAATTAGTACCTTTGCAAATCCCCTATTACCTGATTTTTACAGAAATGTGTGTATACCCACAGAATATGTAAAATTCCAAATTCTTTACCTTTAACAGAAATGTGTAACGGAATGTACAACTTCTGACCCTAAGTAGGCTGCTGGTTCTGACCCCAGGGCTAACCCAGTGCCAAAACATGCCTACCTGCTGCCTAAATTGGGTTTTGAATGGGACATATGACTCACAGAGGTGACTATTTTCCTTTCTACATATCTTTCACGCTGAGCTATTACAACCACTGTAAGGGAGATATTCAGCACTGTGAAAAATGTGTTAGTTAATTCTATCCAACACCAGTGCTTCTTGGTATCTTTCAGGTCAATGGGGGAACGGACAGGTTGTAAAGACCATGGTTCTGTCTCCTCTATCAGCAAATCTTCTTTGCAAATCATGGTATCCACAAGCCTTGTGAAAGGCCAGGACTCCCTCAGACCAATGGCTTTACTAATATAAAATCATAATCTTAGCAGACAGCCGTGGCTTTATGGCCTATGTGTGACAGCAGGCTGAGAAAGTGACCATATGGCTCTGCTGGCAGGGCACTGGTGTAATATTTGCTAAAGGTGGACATGCCAAAATGTCACCATGAAACACTCTTCTGTAGTCACCATGAAGCCCAGCGTTAAGACAAGGAAAAGCCACAAATATAACAACCAGCAGGCTACAACAGAAGAGAAGATGGATACTCTCAACATCACTGAGGCTTCAAAGAATAACTTTTTTGTTAAGGAAAATTCCTAGAAAATCCCAAAATTCTCTGTCTCTTCTAGTACAGAATCAGGCAAATTAACTCAACAGTTCCTGCCAATCTGACCTGGAAAATGGTCTGACATCAGTTTAACTCTGAGTCAATATGAAAAACACATCAATCTAGCACTTGAAAGATATTATAAAGAGCAATCAGTGCAAACGGTGCTACGTTTCCCTCACTGTGGAAATCTCCAGTTCTTCAAGAGAAAAAGCCATGCCAAAAAGCCCAGTTATATAATAAGGGTGATGGGAGAAAATTCATCCTGGGCCCTGGAATGAAATAGCAAAAGCCCAGGAACATATAATAAGGATGATGGAACCAAATGGTCCTGTAGTCAGTTTTGTCTTTGCCTTTGACAGTGAATGTTGCAAAGGTACATAAACCAGCATGGTTTTTTTTGTCTGGGACATTTAATGTAGCAAATTAGCAATTCAATCCTTACTGAGTTTTTGCTCTGTTGCAAAATAGAATTTCAAGAAAGGTTTTGAACAAAAGCTTTGAGTTAGTTTCACACTCAAAATGTCCAGGGGAAGATCAGGGTGACAAGCAGAATGTCAATGGTCTTAAAAAGATGACAATATAAAGAGAAACAGAGGGGAAGAGGGAATTGCATTCTGACTCATTTTGACCTCGAGCATACTGGTACACATCTGCAAGGTGCCAGGGAGACTGCTCCTCTGTTGGGTTCCACCAAGAGCAGTGATTACTTTGTGTTCACAGTATGCCCTAGCAAAGTCAACCTGCCTTAAGCTGGAAGACTCCCAGACTCGAAGGAGAAGTCCTTGAGAGTAGCCCTGCAGAGAAGGACCTGGTGGTCCTAATGGATGAAAAACTTAACGTGAGCCAGCATGTGCCCTTGCAGCTCAGAAAGCAAATGGTATCCTGCACTCTATCAGAAGACGGGTGGCCAGCAGGGACAAGGAGGTGATTGTCCTCCTCTACTCTGCTCTTGTGAGGCCCCATCTGGAATACTGTGTCCAGGTCTGGAGCTCTCATTACGAGACAGACAGAGAGCTGTTGGAGCAGGTCCAGAGGAGAGCCACAAAGATGATCAGGGGACTGGAGCACCTTCCCTGTGAAGACAGGCTGAGGGAGCTGGGCTTGTTCAGCCTGGAGAAAAGAAGGCTGCGGGGTGACCTCATTGCAACCTTTCAGTACCTAAAGGGAGCCTACAAACAGGAGGGGAGTCAACTCCCTGAAAGGGTTGATAACAGCAGGGCAAGGGGAAATGGTTTTAAGTTAAGGGAGAGAAAATTTAGGTTGAAAGTTCTTTACAGAGAGAGTGGTGAGGTACTGGAACAGTCTGCCCAGAGAAGTTGTGGATGCCCCATCCCTAGAGGCGTTCAAGGCCAGGTTGGATGAGGCCCTGGGCAACCTGGTTTAGTATTAAATGGGGAGCTTGGTGGCCCTGCATGTGGCAGGGAGGCTAGAGTCATGATCCTTGAGGTCCCTTCCAACCCTGGCCATTCTGTGATTCTGTGAAGAACTCAAACCACAAATAATAATTCCCACTGGGAGTCTCATTTTGAGCTACAATAGGGTTTGAGCTTGACAGTGAAAGGGTTAGTGCTCTTAAAGATCCCAAAGACTACACTGCATGTCCTAATTACAAGGCTCATCAGGTCAGCTGCAATGAATTCAGAATTTCCTTATCTTGATATGCTGGGAGGGCAGAGAAATTATGTAAAACTTGCTTAGTGGGAAGTTCTGGCTGATAATGTAAGTTTGATTGGTTTTGTTGTTTGTTTGTTTGTTTGTTTGTTCTTTTTCTTACTGTGACTCTTGTTGACTTAGCTGAATGGGAACCAAACTGAAAATCTGGTGGTCTGTTTTTGAAAGATAACCTTTCTGCTTGGTAGGTCTTCAAGTTCTGTTGGTGGTGCTGTGAAGTAAGGCTTCCTTTGTTATTTCTTTGCTAAGTGTTTCCAGTTGAAGAATATGCAATCAGTAAGGTTGTGGTGTGGTCCTGACTGATAGAGGCAGCTATTGTCTTGTATGGTTTCTTTGCTCTTGTTGCCAGTTGGGTAACATATGTGAGTTCTGCTATCCAGCTCATGTCTAAGAAATTCCTGATTCTGTGAAGGATCTGGCAAATGCTCTTGATTCCCTCACCTAGTCCCTTCCTTTCGAAGACAGCTTTGGGGATTAATGTGCCAAAGGGCAAGTAATGAGACACTGGAACAGAATTTCTCTCTTCAACTTCTTTTTTAGTGATGTCATGTTAGAAGTAAAATTGTACTCTTTGGAATGTAATGTTGCGTGGCACACTGTAACAAATGGATGATAAGCTTTCTTTTCTTTTCCAAGTTCTCCCTGGTACATCAATTGCTTTACTTGTAAAAGTATTTTTTAACTGAGGTTGGAGAACATAGAAACTATACTAGCATCTCAATTAGGATAATATTTAATTTTGCCCTGAGGCAATCTGGACAAAATTAGAGGGATTACCTATTTTTCAGAACCCTAACTTACAGTTAATATTAATAAGTGATAACAACCTG